TAACCACCAACCGATACGTGTCCCGGCTTACATGCTGCCGCAAAACGACACTACATATAGAGACTCGTAGCAGCATGCACGCTGCCACTCCGAAAAATTGGCAGAGAAATGTTATCTCTATACTACTCAAAAAGTTGTAAAGGTCCCCCCGACAAGCTCGGTCGCGGGCCCAAGGGAAACCTGTGGAGGGGTTGAACCGGGTAGGGTGAACTGGTGCAGGGGCAAGGCCCGCGCCGAAAACGGTGCCGCGCATCACGTCGGCCCAGGGAAACAGTCCAGAGGAAAAGTCACCGTCGGTTGCCAGGCGTCACGTCGGGCCAGGGAAACAGGCCGGAGGAAAAGTCGGCGTTGGGCCCAGGGAATTGCTGGATTTGTCCTCACGCGGCAGGCCAGTGCGAATCAGGCTCCACACGGCTCCGCTCCACGAGGGGCGGAGAAGAAGCAGGATGAGGTGCGGGAGAAGGAAGGGGAGAAGGACCGGGAGCAGCGGGAGGAGGGTGAGGATGGGGGGAGGAGGGGGAGGAGCGCTAGGAGCGCTAGGAGGAGGAGTGGGAGGAGCAGAACAAGGAGCAATTCGCCTTTCACACTTGCCACGGTCAGATGATGGCGAAGTGATGGAGCGCCGGAGGGGCACACCTGGCACACACATACACATGTGTGAGGCCGGCGACTCGAGGGGGATAGAGATGGTCTCGGTGACAGTCAGGAAGCCGATCATGAAGGGGGAGGACGAGGGAAAACGAGGAGCAAGGTGAAAAAGGGAGCAGGACGAGGGAGGAATAGGAGGGAGCCTCTTTCAGGTCAGTGGAAGACATGCCTTCCGCGCAGAGGAGAGAGGAAGCCAAGGGAGGACTGCAACAAAAACGGATGTGGAGAGAGAGAGAGAGAGAGAGAGAGAGAGAGAGAGAGAGAGAGAGAGAGAGTTTTGACTACGACGATGACGGGTATCCACGACGAGCAGAAGTAGGAGCGGGAGGCGGTACAGGAGGAGGAGAAGGGGTAGGGGCGGGAGGGGGAGAAGGAGGAGCGGGAGGAGGAAGTGGGCGAGGAACGGGGCCAAGAGCAGAAGCAGCGCGGGGAGGAGCAGGAGGAAGGAACGGGAGGAGGATGAAGTTGTGGTGGAGCAGCAGCGGGAGGTCAGTCTCTCTCTCTCTCTCTCTCTCTCTGAGGCTAGCCACGTGGCGGCCCTTTTTTCTTTTTTTTTTGCAGGAGGATCTTTGTCACATTGCAAGAGGACAGAAGCAGGAGTGGGAGGCAGTACAGGAGGAGAAGCGGGAAGAGCGGGAGGAGCAGCGGGAGAATGAGCAGGAGCAGGAAGGGGGGAAGAGCAGTCAATCAATCAGTCGGAGAATGAGCAGCGGGAGAATGTCACACACACAGTCGATCAATCAATCAATCAACCGATCAATCAATCTATCAATCTATCAATCAATAAATTTGATTGATAATTTGATTGATTGATTAACTGATTTTTCGTTTTCTGTTTGGAAAAATCCGTCGGGTATTGGCCTGTTCTCGTGCTTTGTTTTTGTTTTCAATCAATCAACCAATCAACCACTCGATTGATTGATTGTTTGATTGGGGAAAAAGAAGAAAAAGGCGGCTCGGGGGAAAGCCCGGAAGGAAGACGAGGAGAGGAGGAGGAGGTGCGGAAGGAGGAGCAGGAGGAGCGGGAGGAGGAGGAGTGGGAGGAGGGCCAGGAGAAGGACCGGCAAGAAAAGGGGAGGGAAGTTAACAAGCGCGTGTAGGAACAGGAGGAGCAGGAGGAGCGGGAGCAGCAGCAGGAGGCGGAGCGGGAGGAGTAGAAGGAACTGGAGGAGCAGGAGGAGGATGGAGTTGCGGTGGTGCAGCGGGAGGTCTCTCTCTCTCTCTCTCTCTCTCTCTCGTCGATCAATCAATCAATCAATCAATCAATCAATCAATCAATCAATTCGATTGGTAAATTTATTGACTGATTTAAATGATTTTTCGTTTTGTGTTTCGAAAAATCCGTCGGGTATCAGCCTGTTCGCGTGTTTTGTTTTTGTTTTCAATCGATCAATCGATCAATCAATCAATCAACCAATCCAGTGATTGATTGTTTGATTGGGGAAAAAGAAGAAAAAGGTGGCTCGGGGGAAAGCCCAGAAGGAGGAGCGGGAGGAGGAGGAGGGATGAAGTTGTGGTGGAGGAGCAGCGGGAGGTCAGTCTCTCTCTCTCTCTCTCTCTCTCTCTCTCTCACACACACACACACACACACACACACACACACACACAGTCGATCGATCAATCAATCACTCACTCACTCACTCACTCAATCAATCAATCAATTCCATTAATAAATTGATCGAGTGATTGAGTGATTTTTCGTTTTCTGTTCGGAAACATTGGGCGGGCATCGGCCCATTCTCCTGTTTTGTTTTTGTTTTCAATCAATCAATCAACCAATCGATTAATTGATTGATTGACTGATTGGGGGAAAAAAAGAAAAAGGCGACGGGAGAAGGAGCAGGACAACGAACGCGTGGAAGAACAAGAGGCCCAGGAGGAGCAGTAGTAGTGGCGGACGAGAAGCAGGATGAGGTGCAGGAGAAGGAACGGGAGGAGCGGGAGGACGAAGGGGGAGGATGAGGGAGAGGAGCGCTAGGAGGAGCAGGAGGAGGAGCACGACAAGGAGCGGCGAAAAACGGGGAGGGGAAATTAACAGATGTGCAGGATGCGGGTGGGGAAAGCAAGGAGGGAAGGGAGGAGAGGGTTGGACGAATGCCATCTCTCTCTCTCTCTCACACACACACACACACACACACACACACACACACACACACACACACACACACACACACACACCTGTCGGCGGGTACGGAATTCGGCCATCCGGGTGGGGGGCAGAAGGGGCGGGGATGGCTGAGAGCGCGGAAGGCCATAGAGTCACGTTCGCACGCTTTCTCCCGCCTCCCGCTTTCTCTCCTCCTCCAACGCCTTCTCCTTGCCCTCTT